GGGTTGCGATCCGTTGCCGGACACGGAAAAAGACAAAAAAGACAAAAAAAAAAAAAAAATCATTGAGTTTATTTACACAAACAACAAACTATCTAAAAAGGAATTTAAGAAAACAATTTTTTCAATAGCATCAAAAGGAAAGAAATGCTTAATAAACTTAACTGAGAAGTTGAAAGACTTATACACTGAAAACTTATAAAACATTAATGAAAGAATTAAAATACACAAAAGTAAATGAAAAGACATCTCATGTTTATAGATTGGAAGAATTAATATTGTTAACATGTCTATACTATCCAAAGTGATCTACAGATTTACTCCAATCCTTATCAAAATCCCAATGTTTTCACAGAAATAGAAAAGTAATCCTGAAATTTGTATGGAAACACTGAACTGTCAAACAATTTTGAAGAAGAAGAAAGTGGAAGGCATTACGCTTCCTTATTTTAAACTATTTTACAAAGCTACAGTAATCAAAACAGTATGGCATTTGGCATAAAGACAGACCTATAGGCCAGTAGAATAGAATAGAGAGCTATCAAATAAGCCCATATATATAAAGTCAACTGCTCTTCAACAAGAGTGCCAAAAATACACAACGAGGTAAGTACAGTCTCTTAAATAAATAGTGTTGAGAAAATTGGATATCCACACACAAAATAATTAATTTTTTCTTATCTTTATTATTTCTTTACTTCTGCTTGAGTTGAATTTAATTTGCTCTTCTTTTTCTTAGTTTTATCAAGAAGAATTTTAGGTTTCTGATTTGATACTTTTATTTCTAATATGAACAATTAATTACATAAATTTTCCTTTTAGGACCGCTTTAACTTTATCTCTCAAATTTTGATATATTTTAAGTTCCATTCAGTTTAAAATATGTTGTTTCTGATTTGATACTTTTATTTCTAATATGAACAATTAATTACATAAATTTTCCTTTTAGTACCGCTTTAACTTTATCTCTCAAATTTTGATATATTTTAAGTTCCATTCAGTTTAAAATGTGTGTTTTAAGTTCCATTCAGTTTAAAATATGTTATAGCTTTATAAATTTGTTAAAGTTTATTGTAATGTCTAGGATATGATATATTTTAGTGAATGCCCCATGTGCACTTGAAAACAACATACATTTCTGTTATTTTGGGGTGAAGGGTTCTCTAAGTGTCAGTTAAGGTCATATTGGTTGATAGTGCTATTCAGGTCTCCTAAAGCCTTCCCAATTATCTGTCTACTTATGCTACAAATTACAGAGAGAGATGTGGTGAAGTCACCAACTGTAAAAATGCATTTGTCTCTTTTTCCTTGCAATCCTCTAAGTTTTGAAGTTCTAATGTTTAGTGACTATATATCTACAATTATTATGAATTCTTTGATAATTGGCTCATTACCTTTATCTAAATCCCCCCTTTTCTTCAGTAATATCCTCATTCTGAAGTCTACTTTACCCAATAGAAATATAGTTACTTTCAAATAGTCTTTCATAATATCCCTTTTTCTATCTTTTCATTTTAACATATCACTGTATTTGTATTTAAGTGGTGTCTTAGATTGGGTTGTTATAACAAAATACCAAAGACTGAGTGACTTAAAGAACAGACATTTATTTCTCACAGTTCTGGAACCTGGGCAGTCCAAGATCAATGTGCGGGCAGATTCAGTTCTTGGTAGCCTACACTCAGCCTTTGCCAACATTTATCAAGTTTTGCTGAATTCTTCTTTTGTATATGTATAACATATTAGCCTATTATTAGTTAATATTAGTCTAATATTAGTTAATAAAGTGCCTGCTTTCTGTCTTTCTTTCCAGGGCATTTGTGTGTGTGTGTGTGTGTATACACACACACACACACACACATATATATATAATGTATGTATATATATATTATAATTTATTTTTCCTTAGATTGGGGATTTGTCTGTTGATCCCTAATGGGTTCCAAAAAAGTTGAGAATTTGAAGATTTTCTGGTGTTTCTTGTAAGTGTAAGAGCAATGCTCTTTCCAGCTTTCCACATCTCAAGTAGAAGCCTGAAGTCCATCAGTCAACTTCTAAATGTTTACCCACAAAATGGTTTTAGTATCCTTCTGTAAAGATAAGGTGTAATAAGCATTCAATAAATTTTTACTGAACACTTTTTATATGCACGGTACTATTCAGGAAGCAGAAGTGAATAAAATAGACAAATATCCATAGAATCTTTGTGCTCACATTCTTAATGGGATGAGGAGGACAAAAATAAATAAAATAAAAATAACATGCACATAAATTTTATAGTATCTTTAAAGTTGTAAAATGATTTAGAAAAAAAGGGATAAAACAGAGAAGAATAGGGAGGATTAGTAGTGTTGTTACCAGCACCTAGTAAAAGCTGCTCTCTTCACCAGAAATAAAGGTCTCAAGAGTCTGAGGTTGAGGCAAGGTATGGAAGCTCTTACTATCAGACATGGGAAACAGTCAGACTAAAAACTGTGTTGAAAGCTTAGGAACCTCAGCAGGGTTTTTGAAGGGAAAAGTGTGGGAAACAAGGTGAGGATGTTCTTCCCATTGAGAGGCTATACGCAATCTTGCAGACTCCAAGCTTTTGTTATCTCATGGTCAGTCTTGTAACTCTTCAATTCATTTTTAGGATGTGAGGATTATCTGGATCCCACACGCTAGGCGCATCTTGATCCTGGACAGCTGTGACTCCAAAGGAAGAATGGTTAGTTCTGCAAGTTACTCATTAGCTCTTCTTATCTTGCTTTTCCCAAGCACTAAGCTATGCAGTGTTTTCTCATGACCTGTGAGCCAAGGTTACAAAAAAACTTCTTTATGGCTAGCATTCTGCTTAAAGTTGTATTCTACAAAATGGCTCTACTAATGCTAATTGTCTATGACTATTTTCTAAGATGAGCTCTTACAATGCCAGTAGGGCATGACTTCAGTTTTAAATAAGGTGGTTAATGAAAGTTTCATTCAGAGACTTGAAGAAAATGGAATTTACCTTATGGATATCCAGGAAAATAAAACAGATTTGCAGGAGATGAAATAGCCAGCAGAAAAGGCCCAAAGACAGGGGCAAGCTTGGCATTTGTGTGAGAGCAAAGACCAGTGTGACTGCAGTAGACTGGGCAAGGGGAAGTATAATAAGATATGATGCCAGACAGGTGGGCATGGGTGAACAGATCCTGTAAGCTCTGGTACGCTACTGTAATGCCTCTGGCTTTTATTCAGAGAGAAATGTGGAGGCTTGGTAGGGTGTTGAGTAGAGGAATAATATGATCTGACTTTCACTTTTAAAAGTCTTACTCCAGCCACTGTGTTGGGAATAGTCTGGAGTATTGAGCATGAATGGCATAATCAAATTGTCATGCCATTTAGTAAGAGTGACCTTTAAAGAAGATTTCTCCTTTGAGTCCAATTCAGACTTCCTTCCCCCTTCCAGTAAAATTGTCTTTAATTGTCAAAAATGAAGCATGACTTTATTCTATGATTAATGGGACTTAAAATGCTAAACTGCAAACCATAATGGCTTAAGCTATACACCAGTAAAATTTGAAAAATTTTCTGATGTATTTCATATAGTCAACTTTTTGGGGATGTGTCTGCTTTGTCATTAATTACATACATTTGGAATATCCTGAGAGAATATGTACTAAATTTATAGCATTTAAATCCTTTTTAAATTTCTTTAACTTAAATTTCCAATATTTCTCATTCAACCACTCAGTAAAATGCTTAAGGTTAATATGCTGTAGTTTAAAGAAAAAAGAGTAACAGACATAACTTTTTTAAGCTGCTATGAGTTGAACTGTGTCCCAAAATTTCATGTTTTAATCTCCACTGTAACAGTGTTGAGGGTGGTAAATCCTATTATGATAATTGAAAGTTTGGGCCTTTAAGGTGATTGGATTGTGAAGACCATGCCTTAGTAAATGGATTAATCCATTTGTGGAGTAATAAGTTGGTGGTTTAATGGGTGGTAATGGGTGTGGTTCTGATGAGTTGTATAAGGAGAGCTAGTGAACAGGTTAGCTCTCTTCTGCTCAGCCATTTCGCCATGTG